TATAGTTTGGAGTAAAGTCTTCTTGCTCTAGTGCAGAGAAGAACCTTTTAAATGGTGAACATAAATGTGAGTGTGTATAAAATGGTGCATACATATAAAAGGGTGAAAAAATATATATGACTTACAGTGTTTACCGTTTCTACTATTTCTCAAAATATTAAACTCCAAGGATTTTATTGAACTGACAGCAGAAAGAATAATAGGAAAAAAAAGATAAACTTTGACATGCACAGGAGAAAAAAACCACAGAAGTGTGATTATCCACCCACCTAATTTTGATACTTAATACCTTTTTTCATAGGTCAGAAGTATGAGGGGAAATGTGACCAGTTCTTTTTGAGGGATAGTATAAGTGATTATTAGGGAGGATGAATGGACTGGAGACACAGAAATTACAGTAACTTGGAAATAATTCTCGTTAGAGTTTGAAGGAGTTCAAAAGATAGATATTTTGTGACAAAACTCCTTTTAGGTGTAGTCACATTCCTCAGTTCTTCATTTCTGTCAGAGATAATGAAATTTTAGCGAGAAGGTGAAAGGTAATTGGTAATTGTGTTCTCTTAGGCATGGGCAGGTTTAAGGCAGATAAAGGATATCCAGAGCAAAGCCTTTCTTCATGCCTTTGCTTGAGAAGGAGGACCCAGGGCCGAAAGGGGGAGGTTGGGATGGCCAGAGAGAGCTTGATTCCAAGATGTTTCCCACACTTTGTCAAAGCACACTTTGGAGTATCATTGTTCTCTGCTTCCAAACAATGTAATAAGGCTTTAGGTGTATGCACTTTAAGACATAGAAGGGTGTTTTTCTGTTCTGTAGCTTACTATTTTTAATTTTTTTTGTATTTCTGACAACATTCCAGCCATATCAGTGCATATAGATCTGTTTCATTCCTTTGACAGTCATGTGCATTAGTACTTTTTAATGAATATGAAACAGATTGTCCATTTCCTGGTGACTTTCCCTGAACTTTCTGTACGTGTGTCTACATACTTGTGCAGTTGTGCCTATAAGAAAGATCCTTACAGTGCAATTGCTGGGCTCATGGTTTTATAAATGATTAACACTCCTACTGTTCTGTTTTCCCAAAGGTGTTAATAAATCATTAGAAACTTGATGGCTTAAGATAATAGACACTTCCTACACTTCTGGAGGCCAACAAGCAATTCAGAAGTACCCCTGAAAATGGTCTTGAGGGAGACTGCCCAGGCCTCTTCCGGCACCTGGTGACAGTTACCATTCCTTGGTGTTCTGTGGTTTGTGGTCATTTCACATCCTGCTCTGCTGCCATCTCCACATCAACATCTTCTTTCTGTGCCTTCTTGACTATGTGTCTGTCTATAAATCCCTCCTGCTTCTTGCTGTTATAAAGATATATGTGATTGAATTAAGGGCCCATCTGGGCAATTCAGTATAATATTTTCTTTCAAAATCCTTTGTTTAATTGCATCTTTTACAGTTGAAGGTAATATTACAGGTTCTGGGTTTTAGGACATGGACATATAGCTACCATTTCAGCTACTATAATTGTTAGGACACAAGTCTGAAATTATGATGTTAGAGACCAGGAGGATTGTTTGGTAGGGAATGGTTATTTCCAATTCTTCATAGATAACTACTGCTTAATATTTCCCCCTGATTTTCCCCTTCTAAAGGCATCTTTAGGACATTTGCTATTTATTATCAATTAATGTTCTCCAGATCATTTTAAATACAGAAATAACTTATACCTAAAAATAGTTCTTGTGTTACTAACATTTTGTGCATCATGAACTTCTTTCTGGTTTAGATGTCAAAGAAGATCAGACAATAGAATTTAATAGATGGCCTACTTTGAAGAATAATGGAGCCTCCTTGCCTTAGACTGTAATTTTAATTCAATCACATGTTAGAAAAGAAAAGATTTGGTTCAATTTGATTTCTGTTATAAAGTTGGACTTGTTGTCACCTGAACATATATACTCTACATTAATTTAACATTGCTGTATTCTTCTCTGTGAGAAAGAGGAAATAGCAAAAAGATCAGTTAATTATTCCTCGAGGAACATACTAATTACTTTATATACAATCATAGGCCATTGTATAGGTAGGATTGAAGGAAAATTCATGCTTTAATGATAGTCTATCTAGAAAAATTTCAGGTGAAGTTGTTATTTTCTTAACCCCGTATTGGTTTAATTTGGACTTAGCTTGCTGAGTGCACTATTCCTGGACCATATTTGGAAAGATAAACTGGGTTATGTAAACTGTTGATAAGGCTTTGTAGATTAATGCATCCTGTTTTAGGTGAGTCATGTTGAAGACAAGGTCATTCACAAAATTTATAAATAAACATTTCAATATTCAGTGTAACTGAATAAGAGAATCCTGAATGAGAGAATCTAATTCATTGGCCATCACTAATAGTTTTACTACCTTTGTGTTCCATCTGGCAAAGTTCCTGGGCTTCAGTACATGTAGTGAGCTACATATGTGGTTGAAAATCATTTAAAATATTCCAGTGTTTTCAGTAGCTCTTGAATCATTCTTTTGTTAATGATAACAATATATTGTACTGTACAAACTCAAAAGTATTATAGAAAGTACAGATATAAGTTAGAACAAAGATTGAAACGTAGTTTTTGAATTCCAGAGGTATTTTGAAATTCAGTATAGAAATAAAATTGAAGGAACATAATTTTGTGTAGAAGGAGAAGCCTCAAACTTATTTTAAAGTGGAATGAACAACAGTAGCTTTAATTAAAAGGTACAAGTTAGTCATAGTACCATTTTGGTCACCTACTGGACAATACATGTTGGAAAACTTATTTTGAACTTATGATTCTTCATGCCTTCATGTATAAAATGTGACTAAAAGTACCAATTTCCATGAATTCATGGGATGATCAAAATCAATTGAATCCTTAGAAAAAAGAGAGCTTAAAACATGTTTTTTGTTACATACTTTGTGATAATAAAGACTATAAAATATGGCATAATGGAGACTGCTAAGAACCAAAGTTAGCAGATGCCACATCCCAACTGCTAGCTATTGTAGTTGGCATTGCTTTTTTAGCCAATAATAAGTTTTATGCCTACATCAACTCCAGGAAGTAGTCCCCAAAATAGTTAAATGAAAAGAAAGCCTTCCTATGTGATTAAGAATTCTCCTCTTACTGCCTTTTTAATCATATCCACAAATTCTAAGATATTAGTTTTCATTTTTAAAACTAAAGACCAATATATGTATCACATGTCTTGAAAAATTTGTCTAAAATACACTGTGATAATTTAATGTAGAGAAAGGGTCATAACGTAGATTAAGGTAGATATAACTATCTACCTTATCTACCTTCAGGGGTTTCTGAATTATTGACTGCTTTTCTGACAGGAACCCAAGATGTGAGCTTGTCTTTCTGGAAGAAGATGGGCCAGTTATGTTAAGGCAGTGTAAAATTTCAAAGACATTTTGGAAAGCATGCACAATCCGGACTTCTCAAAATCTCCTTTGTCCTGGTCCCTAAACTGATGGGCATAAAAGCAGAAATACAGTTAATGACAGACCGCAAGGTCAGAGCCCGATTTTCATATATGCCTCAGGATTTCCTTTGAGGCTTTGCTATGAACTTCCAAGTTCACTCTGCTGCAGGAAATGAAATATAAAAGTTTTCTAACTTTGTGTGGGCTGCTTAGTGGAGTGGGATGGAGCTGCATTCTTGAATTACATAGATTTTAAAAGCCTCACAGTAGCTGATGTGCACATATACTCGGTATTCTTAGACGCTGAAGATTGATATGGTGTGAACTCTTCGTTCTTAGCACAAGTTAAACCTTGAGTACCATTTTGATCAGTTTCTCAGACGGTATGTGTGGCTTTTTGCTCCTCCAATCATCTTTCGACTCCACTGTGAACTTTTCAGCAACTTTTGCATTTAGATCGCGCTTCCTTCATCCTTTCCTGCAAGCTTTTTTTGACCTTGTCGTTGTATCCTCTTCATTTAACTGGCTATTCTACTCCTCTCCCTTCCCCTCCCTCTCCTTCCTGTCGCTTCATTTCCCTTTCCTCCTTCTCCCTTCCCTCTACTCCCCTCCTCTCCTCTTCCCTTACCTTTCCAGTCTTTCCCTTCTCTTCCTTCCTCCCCTCTTCTCCTCTCCTTTTTCCTTCCTCCCTCCTTCTGTCCCCTCCTTTTTCACCGTCTCCAATCTCTCTCTCTCTCTTTTACCCTTTCTTGTTCTTTGCCCTCTCTCTCTGTCTTTCCTCCTTTCCATCCCTTCCTCTTTTCCATCCTTTGTTTTTTCCTCCCTGCTGCCCCTGCCTCCCTCCCTCCCTTTCTGGCACTGAACGCAGTGCCTTCCCAATGAGCTACATTTTCAGGCTTTTTTTAAAGACTTCCTCTCTAAATCAGTAAGGTGCTTAGGCCACACTTTATCTTGGCATCCTCCTGTTTCAGCCTGCCAGAATTCTGAGATTACCAGCACGCCCCACCATGCCTGACTTCATTCAGCACTTTAAAATAGGTGGCTCTGGGTATAAGTCATACCGAGTTCAAATCCAGCCTGGGCAGCTTAGTCACTTAGTGAGACCCTGTCTCAAAGACTCTGAGCTGGATCCACAGTACCAACAAGAAACACCCCAAACAAACAAATAAAATGAACATATATTTCTCTGTCAGTAGATGTTTATTTAATTGAATTCTAGAGCACATTATTTAAATGGATATAGGGAATTAAAGTGACAGCTAATGAATTTCAATAAATTTTATCTCATATGGTAGATATACTTATTTATTTTCGTTGAACCCAATATTATTTGTCTTATCTTTTATTTTTTTCTTACAGATGCATTTGGTCATTTTGGTCATACCTTAGATTTATTAAAGGATTGAAAAATCTATATATATATTCACTCAATTTTGCTAAATTTTAAAAGGTGGTCACATTTATGGGATTAGTTAAAGCTAGTGGCTCTAAAGAGGTTTGAAATTAAATTATACATGTAACGCTTGCTTTTCTGACTTTTTTTTTAGGTAATCCAGAGTCTGCTCTCTCTCTCTTTTTTTTTAATATTGCCTTCACACATTGCACCTCAGTGTAAAGTGACGAGTCCACATACAACCCTTAGAAAGCTGTTTAAGGGGGCACCTGTTAACAGGTAAAACAAGTAAAGCTAAAAGTACCCTACTATGTATCAATAGTTATATTGAGAATTGGAATATAATGATTAACTTGTTATTTTATACTGTGATGGGAAAGATATATTGAATAAATTATTAGAAATGTTAAAAGGTGGAGTTGGGGATTTAGCTCAGTGGTTCCACCACCTGCCTCGCAAACACAAGGACCCGAGTTTGATCCATCCCTGGTACCAAAAAAAAAAAAAAAAA